CCGACAGTGAAGAATAAATATATTTATAACTAGTTTAGCTTGTTCCAGAGGTAGATAAAATAGCTAAGTGTGTTAGGTCTAACTCTTGTGTGTTTCGCTCCGCTCAGTGGTCCGTCACAGCGGGCCGTCACAGCGGGCGGAGCTGCAGGATTTCTGCTTCACACACGTTGCATACCGCTATTTTACTGTCTTTTTCGGACACCTTAAAATAATGCCAGACCGGTGAAGCCATTTTGGCGAGCTTGTTTTGCCGCGCACAGACAAAAATGTCATCTATTTTACGTCATGCGATCGGCAAATTTAGAGAGCACCGATCGATCGGTAGAGAGTGAGTATCGGCCGATCTCGATCGGTGACCGATCGATCGGAGCATAACTAGTGTTTGATATTAAAGGGTCAGTACATTAGTGCTATACTCTGATATTAAAGGGTCAGTACATTAGTGCTATACTCTGATATTAAAGGGTCAGTGTGTGAGTGCTATACTCTGATATTAAAGGGTCAGTGTGTGAGTGCTATACTCTGATATTAAAGGGTCAGTACATTAGTGCTATACTCTGATATTAAAGGGTCAGTGTGTGAGTGCTATACTTTATTCTCTCTTCAGGAGTGTTGGAGAGGTTGGTGTCGAGTGTGGAGCAGCAGCAGCGTCACATGACCTCCAAAGGGCTGCTGGAGGTGTGCTCCCTGCCTGAGGGGGAGGAGCCTGAGGAGGGGGTGCACCTGGCCAGGGAAGAGCTGCAGCAGCTGAGCCGCAGGGCCCAGCTGTGGCCCCTGATGGAGGGACTGGCGATCCTCAACCAGCTGCGCCTCAGCACTGACCTGCTGCATCTGGCTCTGGCTCCTGGGTAACTGCATCTCTCCTCAAAGCAAACTGATATAGAAACCGTTAAGAGGCTGTGATTTGATTCTTTTGTATTATTCAACTCTGAGAAAACCGAGGTTATTATACAGGACCCCAAACATATTCGGAATGAAATATCAAATTACATAATTGCTGTCGATGGTATCATTTTGGCCTCCATCTCCACAGTAAAAAATATTGGCAAAGATGAACTAGATCAGGAGTCGGAGCATTCAGCTGCCAGGCTCCCTTTCTCGGGAACCTACTTCCTGTTTTTATCAGGGAGACAGACAGTCTCCAAAATGTTGAGTGCACTGAAGACATTCATTTTGAGTGCACTGAAGACATTCATTTTGAGTGCACTGAAGACATTCATTTTGAATGAAGCCTATATTTAGAGCTGGTTTTTAGATACCCTATGTTTGTCCTCCTGGGTCCTATATTTTATGATATTTTATTGTCTTTTTATTGTCTGTATTTTTTCTTGTTTTATTTAATATTTTATTTTACACTCTACATTGTCTTTTCATTATTTTCCTGTCATTTTCTTTTCCTTTTTGCACTTATTTGATCTGTAAAGCCCACTGAGACAGACGTGTTTTGTGATATTGGGCTATATAAATGAACTTAGATGTGTGTGCTGACGTGTTCTCCTGATGCTTGCAGTGACCAGGAGGCGGAGGCCAGCCTACGCAGAGAGCTCTCCAGACATCTGCGCTACTGCCTGCAGTCCACCCCCATGAACGTGAGCCAGCTGCAGCCTCTGTGGTTCCTGCTCAGCAGCGACAGGGTCAGTGCAGTGAGCTTTCACTTTCACCATTCCATTTTCAATTCTAGGGTCACGATTGCATTCAAAATTGATTCTTTTTTCAAAACAATTTCCAATTCAATATTGATTCTGGAGGCTGCTGATTTCAGCATCTACTTCAATGCTAAAAAATGCAGTGTGGCAAATGATGGCGTACAAAAGGCAAACCAGAGACAAAAACGTTTCACTAAATGTATTTTATTATCTCAATTCTCAGTGACTTCAAGAAAGTGATTCAAAACGAAAGTAGGCTTAGGTTAGCAGAAATGCTTGACACAGCTCTGACTTTGTTTATACATGTGAGTAACAAATGCGTCACTCCCGGGCAAAAAGTACGGCTCCGCCCACTTTTGGTGTCAATACAAATTCTGAAGTTTTTGCCAATCCGATCAGAAATGTAAGAAAACCGTGGATTTTTGGATCTTCAAAGAGGCCGATTACAATGGCCAGTCAGGCAAACAATTACATTAAGCCATCGGAAATCGACGATCGGGCTCGATGTATGGTTAAATATAGCTGTAGGCTATCGATTTTCATAGATGAGAGTAACATCTACGTCACTTTACGGCCCTGCCCACTTTTGGGGAAACCAACGCTGTCATTTGAACGGCGATCGAGCCTGAAGCCACAGAGATCTTCTGTTACTGTCCTTTCTTCTTAGAGGAAGTACAGAAACACGTAACTCTGGATTTGTTTTAATGTTTGAGGGGCA